AAAGCGCCCGCCACGACGCATATACTATAAGATTTCTCGGTGCGCGCGTCGCCCCTGGGGGGGCGACGCACATATAGTATAAGTATGTTGGGGTGTTGCCTGGGTGGATGTGCGCGAGGGGGGTCGCTACACGTTGACGCCACAGCCTGGGAGAAGCGACAAGCGAGCTGCCGCATGATAACACCTGAGCCTCTAACGAGCCCCTGGACGGACCACCGAGGGACGGGCGAACCTCGCGTGGCTTACCCACTTGCATGATCAGACCCGCGTCATGGACGTGCGTAGGCCTCGTCGCTCGACGCAGGACACACCCCGTGTCTTGTGTAGCTCCCATCCTACTTAAGGACCACATCCCAGAAATCATTTCGAGCACCCGGAAAAGTGTCGAAAGAGTGTCGAAACAATGTCTCCCAGGGCCCGACACGTGAAAACCCTCAAGTTTTTGGGTACTTTTCTGGCGCTCGAAATTCTTTCTGGTGATCAAGGCTAAAGTAGGTTGGAACATCATAGCCCGTGTCCAAACAGCCACGTCACGCCTCCAGTGAGGAGAACCGGCGGGCCAGGCTTTGACGGCCCTGGCAACGCAAGGAGTCGCAGCAGAGGCCAGCGAGGTGCCCGCCTTTCCAAGAATGAAGGGGCCCTGGGACACACAAATAAATACACACAAATAACCAGATCCCCCATATTTTCCCATATTTTACATGTTTCTGTCTTCCCCCCCCACTTCCCATGTTTTTCCACATTTTCTGGGGGATCGACGATTCATTGTGTCTGTGTGCTTTTCCCCCATATCCTAAGATGGGGTTCTTGTTATTCCCCATATCCTAAGATGGGGTTCTTGTTATTCCCCATATCCTAAGATGGGGTTCTCGTTACTTCTTGGACGCCGCCGACTTATCCTCCTTCTTCTCCTTCTCCTCCCCTCTCCTCCTCATACCCAGACTTACTTACACTCAGATTTACTCTTACCCAGACTTACTCAGACACAAACTTACTCATACTCAGACCTACTCCTACTCAGAGTTACGCATGCTGAGGCTCACTCATGCCCAGACTGACTAATACTCAGACTTGTTCCCAGACTTACTCATACTCAGACCTGCTCGTACTCAGACCTTTTCATTGTCTGAATAATTCCACACACACAGCAGATTGTGAGGATGCCTCAGACGGGGCGCTGGCTTCAGCCCCCCTAAGGGGAGCCGCCATGGGTGTTTTCACGGTCCCGTTCGCGGCCGTTTGTGGGGATGTCTCGGGCGGTTTGCCCGTTGTCTATCCCAACGTCCTTCGCTTTCGAGGCAGATTTGGAGGATGTCTCGAGCGAGGCGCCCATTTTCACGTCCCTAAGGGGAGCCGCCAAGGGTGCGTTCACGGTCCCGTTCGCGGCCGTTTTGTGGGGATGTCTCAAGCGGTTTGCCTGTTTTCTGTCCCAACATCCTTCGCTGTCGGAGCAGAGTTGGAGGATGTCTCGAGCGAGGCGCTCATTTTCACCCCCCCAGGTGGGCCAGATTTTGAGGATGTCTCGATCGGTTCGCCTGTTTTGGTGGCCAGGCTCGTGGGCGCAGATTCTTCTCAGGATACCACGGGAGGCTCCAACAGGCTCCAGGAGGCCCCAGGAGACCACATGAGGTCCCAGGAGGCATCAGGAGGCCACAAAACGACTCAAGAGGCCACAGGATGTCCCAAGAGGCTCCAGGAGGCCCCAGGAAGCTCCAGGAGGCCCCAGGAAGCCACAGAAGGCCCCAGGAGGCCACAGGAAGCGCCATGAGGCCTCGGAAGGCAACAGGAGGCCCCGAGAGGCCCCAGGAGCAGGAGGCCTCAGAAGGCAACAGGAATGGCTCCAATCCCATGTGTTTTACGTATGCTCCTATCGATTGGGCCTCACCTGGAGCACGATTCCTTGATGTTATACGTATGTTTCTATAGATTGTCCTTCTCCTGTGTACACAATCCTGCATGTTTTACTTATGCTCCTATATATATATATATGAGAGAGAGAGAGAGAGAGAGAGAGAGAGAGAGAGAGAGAGCGTGATCCACCGCCGCTTTACTGTGGAAAATTGCCAACCTTTTCCTCCGGAACCCGGGGGTCCCCCCCCCCCCCTCCGAAAATCCCCCCCCCCCCTGCTGGAAACCCCTCCGCCCCCCCCCCCTCCCCCGCAAAACCCCCCCTCCCAAACCCATCCCCCCCCTCCCCCACCCCCCCCCCTTCCCCCCTCCCTCGAAAACGGGGGGGGTCACTCGGTTCGAACCCCTCCCCCCCCCTCCTCCGGATCCGCAAAACGGGGGGGGTCACTACCGGTTTGGAACCCCCCACCCCCCCTCGAAAACCTCACTACCGGTTCGACCCCCCTCCCCCACGCACCGCCAGCAAACGACTCCCGGTCCCTACCACCGCTCGCATCACATCCCCCACTGTTGTTCCCAGCACCACTGTCCTCACCACCACTGTCCCCACTGGTTCCACCACCGTCCCTATTGTCCCCACCAATGCCACCACCACTGTCGCACTGTCCCCACTGTTCCCACAACTGTTCCCACCACGGTTCCACTCTCCCCACTGTCTCCACGGACCCAACCACTGCCTATCCCCATTGTCCCCACTGTCCCACTGACTCCTCCGCTGTCCCACTGAGCTGTCCCACTGTTTCCACCACTGTCCCCACTGTCCCCACCACTGTCCCCACTGTACCTCTGTCCCATTGTCCCACCGCCGTCCTCGCCACCGCCTTTACCAGTGTCTCCACCACCATTGTACCCTCCACTGTCCCAGTGTTTCCACCTCATTCCCACTGTCCCCACACCACTGTCCCCACCACCACCGTTCCCACCACTGTCCACTGTCCCCCCTGTTCCCACCATTGTCCCCACCACTGTCCCCACCACTACCGTCCCCACCACTGTCCCACTGTCCCCCCACTGTCCCCACCACTGTCCCGCTGTCCCCTCACCACTGTCCCCACCAACACCGTCCCCACCACTGTCCGCACCCCCACTCGGTTTTCGAGGGGGGGGGGGTTCGAACCGGTAGTGACCCCCCCCCCTTTTCATGATGAGCTGGGGGGGGGGGGGGGAGGGGTTCGAACCGGTAGTGACCCCCCCCGGTTTTCCGGAGGGGGGGGGGGGGAGGGGTTCGAACCGGTAGTGACCCCCCCCGGTTTTCCGCCAGCAGCGGTAGAACACGCTCTTTCATATATATATATATATATATATATATATATTGGGCCTCTCCTGGGGCCCGAATCCTTTGTGTTTTACGTGTGTTCCTATATATTGCCCTTCTCCAGTGGCTCTAATCCGCAATGTTTTATCTACATCTGTTGCTATAGATTGGGCCTCTCCTGGGGCACGAAACCTCCCTAGGAGGTCCCAGGAGGCCCCAAGAGGCTCCTGGAGATCCCAGGAAGCCCCAGCAGGTTTCAGGAGGCCCCAGGAGGCCCCAGGCTCATGCGCAGAGACGCGCTCGTACTACTGAGGCTCACTCACACTCCAATTCATTCGCAGTTAGATTCATGTCCAGACCGTCACAACTGAAGCCCGTTTGTATTCGAAAGCTCTTGCGCCTAGACATTCACGGCGGACAAGTCCATGCGAGTAGATGCACATCCGGGGAGCTCCACGCAGTGACAAATTTCTTGGACGCCGCCGACTTCTCCTCCTTCTCATTCTCCTTCCCTCTCCTCCTCATATCAAGACTTACTCATACACAGACTGATTCACACTCAGACTTACTCATACCCAGACTTATTCACACACAAACTTACTCATACTCAGACCTACTCATACTCAGACCTACTTTTACTCATACTCAGACTAACTAGTACTCAAACTTATTCCCAGACTTACTCATACTCAGACCTGCTCGTAATCAGACCTTTTCATTGTCTGAATATTCCACACACACATACAGCAGATTGTGAGGATGTCTCAGGCGGGGCGCTGGCTTCAGCCCCCCTAAGGGGAGCCGCCATGGGTGTTTTCACGGCCCCGTTCGCGGCCGTTTTGTGGGGATGTCTCAAGCGGGTTGCCTGTTTTCTGTCCCAACATCCTTCGCTTTCGGAGCAGATTTGGAGGATGTCTCGAGCGATGCGCTCATTTTCACGTCCCTAATGGGAGCCGCCGAGGGGTATCGTAAGGTCCCGTTCGCTGCCGTTTTGTGGGGATGTCTCAAGCGGTTTGCCTGTGTTCTGTCCCAACATCCTTCGCTGTTGGAGCAGATTTGGAGGATGTCTCGAGCGAGGCGCTCATTTTCACGTCCCTAAGGGGGGCAGCCGAAAGGTATTGCACGGTCCCGTTCGCTGCCGTTTTGTAAGGATGTCTCAAGCGGTTTGCCTGTTTTCTGTCCCAACATCCTTCGCTTTCGGAGCAGATTTGGAGGATGTCTCGAGCGAGGCGCTCATTGTCACCCCCCCCAGGTGGGCCAGATTCTGAGGATGTCTCGATCGGTGTGCCTGTTTTGGTGGCCAGGCTCGTGGGCGCAGATTCTATCAGATTCTACTCAGGATGCCACAGGAGGCTCCAACAGGCTCCAGGAGGCCCCAGGAGACCACATGAGGTCCCAGGAGGCATCAGGAGGCCACAAAACGACTCAAGAGGCCACAGGATGTCCCAAGAGGCTCCAGGAGGCCCCAGGAAGCTCCAGAAGGCCTCAGGAAGCCACAGGAGGCCCCAGGAGGCCACAGGAAGCGCCATGAGGCCTCGGAAGGCAACAGGAGGCCCCGAGAGGCCCCAGGAGCAGGAGGCCTCAGAAGGCAACAGGAGTGGCTCCAATCCCATGTGTTTTACGTATGCTCCTATCGATTGGGCCGCACCTGGAGCACGACTCCTTGATGTTATACGTATGTTTCTATAGATTGTCCTGCTCCTGTGTGCACAATCCTACATGTTTTACTTATGCTCCTATAGATTGGGCCTCTCCTGGGGCACGAGTCCTTGGTGTTTTATGTGTGTTCCTATAGATTGCCCTTCTCCCGCGGTTCTAATCCGCAATGTTTTATCTACGGCTGTTGCTATAGATTGGGCCTCTCCTGGGGCACGAAACCTCCCTAGGAGGTCCCAGGAGGCCCCAATAGGCTCCTGGAGACCCCAGAAGCCCCAGCAGGTTTCAGGAGGCCCCAGGAGGCCCCAGGCTCATGCGCAGAGACGCGCTCGTACTACTGAGGCTCACTCACACTCCAATTCATTCGCAGTTAGATTCATGTCCAGACCGTCACAACTGAAGCCCGTTTATATTCGAAAGCTCTTGCGCCTAGACATTCACGGCGGACAGGCCCATGCAAATAGATGCACATATGGGGAGCTCCACGCAGTGAATAATTCCCCTCCTGAAAGAAGTGCGCGATGCGGCCCGTCTGCTTTCGTCTGTCAGATGAGCAATGCCGCGTCCCTCCATCCAACGCTCGCGTCCGCGGCAGCCGCGGAGCCGTTGGCGGGAGGGAAGCCGTACCAGGACAAGCTGCTATGGCCAATGGGCACGTAGTTGTAGATCAGCGCTCCGCGTTCGTCGTTGGCCGAAGGGAAGCGATGATCGTTCTTGCGCGCCTCGTTGACCAGAAAGTTTGCAAAGTACTGCATCGATTCGATCGCGTGGGCTCCATGGTTGATGCCGCCTTCGTCGGCGTCCCAAGAGAAAATCGGCCTCTCTGGATGCCACTGGACGCCGTAGATTGGGTACTGCCTGGCTTCCACGGTCGAGACGAAAGGCTTGCCCTTCCTGTCGCGGTTCGTGGACAGCACCCGGAAGAGCAGAGAGAGGCGCTCGTTAGTGGCGTACGTCGCCGGCAGCACGCCGTCATGGTGGAGGTTGCTCGTGACGTTCTCCGTGGTCACCCACCCGAGAACGTGCGCCGGCATCCTGCCCAGCAGGCGCGAGGAGGGCGCGGCCCGCGTGGCCTTAGGCCGGGCACGTCCTCCTGCAGGGGGATTTTGGACGAAAAGTAGAACAACCCCCCAAAATATGCAAACAATAAAAAACCCCAAATATGCTAACAAAAATGAAAAATGAAAGAGAAAAAAACAGAATCGTCCCCAGACTATTGTTTGACTATTCTTGAATGTTCCTCCTGTAGAGGGACAGGCCCGACTTAAGCGTGGCCGCGGTGGACAAACCTCCCTTCAAAAAACCTCCCCTTAGTGAAAACGGCCTGGGACCGAAACCGACGGACCTGGACCCGCAAAAATGACGGCCGCGACGCCCTCTCGCGAACCGAGAACGGCCAATGCGCTAATCGACGTGTCAGGGTGGGATGTCCATCAACCTCCGAGGCCTCCAGCGGCAGCGACAGCCCCTCCGAGTCGTAGGCGGACGTCTCCAGCACCGACGCGTCGCCCGCCGCCACGAGGGCCCCGGGAAGCCCAAAGAGCAGTTAAAACAGGGCTAGGATCGGGATAAATCGCTCCAGAGCGTTCCGGAGCGCTCTCAGAGCGTTCCGGAACGCTCTGGAGCGGCCGCGGCGTCCAATACATCCTCCAAACCCGCCGATTCTCAGAGATTTCGAGTTATCCCGATCCGACTTTTGTCCCGATCTTCGCGTCGTTTTAGCAGTGCCAGGGACACGCCACCGCGGGGAGCCCACCGGCGTGTGTTGTACTGCTGCAGAAGCGCCGGGCCTCCCGACAACCAGCAGGGGAGCAGCACTCGAGCAGGGGAGCGACGACAGTATTGATTTACCCCAAACCTGCTTTGTTCGTCGGATCTACGAGAGCTGCGACGAATGACCGTAGATCTACGAACATCATACGTCTTTTTAGACATTCGACCAGAACATCAATTTCGGGGTACATCGATTTTGTAGTCGAACCCCTACTCGAAACACGCCATGGGGCGCACAGGGACATGCTAGTACTGTATGTCCTCCTTGGAGGTGCGCGTCCGACTCGAACACATGTTATACCCATATTATAGTGCATCGTTTCCCGAGCGGTGTGGCCAGAAAGCGCCCGCCACGACGCATGTGCTATACGCTATAAGATTTCTCGGTGTGCGCGTCGCCCCTGGGGGGGGGCGACGCACATACAGTACAAGTATGCTGGGGTGGCGCCGACAACACGCTGACGGGCTACCAGTGGCAGCGTGTCATTTATACTCTTTCGCCCTCCCGAGATGGAGAGCGTCTGTATGCCCATGCAGGTGCCCCAAAGAGGAATGTAGGTTCCTGCGCGATTGGCCGCAATCGTCAAATTGAACAGAAGCGCTGCCGCGTGCAGATACTGCGCGGCGCTGCGCGTAGCCGTGTGCCTGATGTCCACCTCGCCGCCCGTGAAGAACACGGCGTTGACAGAGTGGAACGCCTCCTCCAAGGCCTGATCCGTCGAGTCGTACAAGATGGGGACCACTCGCCCTCCTGCCCCCTCGACGTACTTCGCGTACAAGGCGAGGAAGCACGAGCCACCCACGACCACGTCGTGCGCCGCCTGAGATCCTTCAGAACAGCGATCTGGCCCCGGAGCGTCACTGTGGCGGCTACCAGGGAGACGAGGATTACTGAACTGAAGGACTTCGGAGCGCCAGCACACCGAGGCCATTCCTCCTCTTCCTCCTCCTCCTCCTCTTCCTCCTCCTCCTTTTCCTCCTCCTCCTCCTCCTCCTCCTGGCCCTCCCATGCCGCCATGGCGGCGCTCTGGGCTGGGTCAGCGCTGGGCCCATTTCCCCCTGGCGGAGCGCTCCAGGGGCGGCGCCAGAGACGCCGCTGCAATGCGGACGCGGCCGCAAGACACCCTCGCAAGGAACCCAACCCTGAAAACCCGCGCGCGACGTACACCCGAGGGGAACCCGGAGCACCCTGAACGCAGCAGCCTCTTTGACGGCCGCGGGAAGTCACCGCGCAGCGCGCGGAGCGAAGAAGCCCAGGGTACCCTGACGAAGAGCGGATGGTTTCTTGATGCACGCCCCAGGAGATCTGCGCCGATCCAAGAGATCTGTGCGGAGCTTCGAGTTTACGTGCGGCTGTGCTGCCTCTCCTCGCCTTCTTCTTCTTCTTCTTCTTCTTCCTCTTCTTCTTCTTCTTAGTATTATTATTATTCTTCTTCTTCGGCAGGTCGCCGAGCCGAAGGACCCCAAGGTACGAACCACTGTGCGCCGCCCTCTCTGGCACCGTCACGCAAGGACTCCCCAGACGGGGCACCGTCAACACGCCCACGATCGGACTGGTGGACACGGCCCAGCGGGGGAGCAGCAGCGCCAGCAGCAGCGACCGCCGCGGCGGCCGCCCGCCCTGCGCCATGGGCCGGCCTCGGCCCCCGTGTCGGGCTCCTCGCGCGCCGAGGGCGGGCCAACCTGGAAGACGGAGGCGGCCTGAGCCGGAAGCGGAGGCTCGGGGGCGCGCAAGCATGGATTAGCGATCAATGGATCTGGCGCGCGGTCGCCAAGTCCGCGGATCGGGGGAGGGGCCCTCTCCAAAGTGCGGCCGGTGCCACCCCGTTCGGCGGCGGAACTCCGCGATTTCCCATGGAACCGGGACCCGTCGCTAATCCGCGTCCCCCTGTTCCATGTGTGCGATCGCCTGAGAAGCGAAGACGGAGGAGCATCGCTTCACGGATCCCTGCCCCCCCACACTGGCGTGGCCTCAGCCCCACTGGCCGACGTCCCCGCAGGGGCGGGGGCGGGAGGCCTCAGTGTGCCTCCTCCTTCGGGTTTCGCGCGGCCTATCCCCACCTGGGAGGGTGGGCTGGAGGCGCTGAGATACGGTGGCCAAGCGGGGGTGGGGATACACTAGACTTAGGTCGGGCCTGTCCCCCTACAGGGAGATTTTGGACGAAAAATAAAAAACAACTCAAAAAATACTCCAAAGATGCCCAAACTACTTGAAAACATATCCCCAGACTATTTTTTTACTATTTTTGAATATGCCCCCTGTAGAGGGACAGGCCCGACTTAACACTAGACGGTGCTGAGCGGAAGAAGCTGAATCCCGCGTCAACTCTTCGTCCTTTCCATGTCTTGTGCAGTGCAGTGCGGGAACAGGGAGGGATGAAGGGGCCCAAGGACACACAAATAAATACACACAAATGAACAGATTCCCCATATTTCCCCATATTTTCTGGGTTTTCGTCTTCCACCCCACTTCCCATATTTTCCCATATTTTCTGGGGGATCGACGATTCATTGTGTCTGTGTGTTTTTTCCCCTCCTGCGAATCCCGCGTCAACTCTTCGTCATTTCGATGTCCTGTGCAGTGCAGCGAGGGAACGGAGAGGGAGGCGCTCGCTCGAGGCGACACGACTGCGACCGCGGTGGCATGGGCATTCCCAACGATGCGACTGCCGTTTACCATTCAGTCGGGCGTGTCTCCCTACCGACGAAAAATCAAAAATACACAACAAATGCTCCAAAATGGTCAAACAATACTTAAAAAAATGGTCCCCAGACTATGTTTTGCCTATTTTTTTGATTTTCCCTCTGTAGAGGGACAGGCCCGACTTAAGTTTACCAGGTCACATGCGACTGCTGACACTCAAGTCTACGATTCCAGCCCAGTGCCATCGAAGGATTCTCGGTCGCACGAGGCCATCACATGAGCGACTCAATGACTCGCACGAGTGCGTCGCCCAGAGCTCGGTGAGCATCGAGTTTGTCCCACAATCGAGCTATCAGTTAGTGCAGCCTGCCCCCATCCACCCAACAAAATGCTAATCCAAATGGAGAGAGCATGGCAGTCTGGTAAGGACAGGACCAAGGAGGGTGCAGATCACCAGTAACAGGAGGATGACAACCACCAGCGACAGGAGCAGTATCAGCAGCAGCAGCAGCAGGAGGAGCATGAACTCTCACACTCAATTCTTGCGAGGACGAGGAGCATCATCGGGAGTAGAAGGAGGAACGAGGACGAACAGAAGGACGACGAGGCTGACGAGGAGGAGAAAGGCTGACGAGGAGAGAGGACCCGAAACCGAGAGAACCAGTGCACACATGCGAGCACATACCTCCCCATCCCCCCCCGCTCCCACTCCTCCTCCCCCGATAGGCGAACAAAGTGGTGGGAACTGCAGCATGAAATAAACGGGTCCCGCAAGAAACCTGTCCTGGACTCTCGGGCCTTCCCCCACAAAGAAACCTTCCACAAGAAGCCCAACCCTGAGACCCCAGGACGTCCCTCGATGCTTGGGCCCCCACTGTAAGGAGGAGGAGGAGGAGGAGGAGGAGGAGGAGGAGGAGGAGGAACGGGAAGAGGAGAAGGGAAGAGGGGGGAGGGGAGAGGGGGAGGGGGAGGGGAGGAGGAGGAGGAGGAGGAGGAGGAGGCGGAGGAGGAGGAGGAGGAGGAGGAGGAGGAGGAGGCAGGCATGGTGCTTCTCGGCATGGGCTCCCACTGCGCACGCAGGGATTGACCCCGCGGGCCGGAGCGGTTTCCGCCGCGCGGCCTGCCGGCCTGCTGGCGCGCCTGCGCCACGCGTGGCGGCCAGCGTGCAGTCTTTTGGGCCTGGCCCTGCAGCGCCGCCCGACGGCCGCGCACCAGCGGCCGCTCCAGCCTGCTCCTCCTCCTCCTCCTCCTCCTCCTTCTTCTCCCCCTCCCCTCCTCCTCCTCTCCTCCTCCTCCTCCTCCTCCTCCTCCTCCTCCTCCTCCTCCACAGAAACATACTAATGCTATATGTCCTCCTTGGAGGCGCGCGTCCGACCCGAACATATGGTATACCAATCTTGCAGTATTTCGTTTCCCGAGCGGTGTGGCCAGAAGGCGCCCGCCACAACGCATATACTGTAAGATTTCTCTGTGCGCGCGTCGCCCCTGGGGGGGGGGCGACGCACATATAGTATAACTGTGTTGCGGTGACGCCGACGGGGATCTGCTGACCCGGGTCGACGCCAGCCCGGGTCGGTGCACCCCTGGCCCTGGTCAGAGAGAAGGTGCAGGAGGAGGGCGAGGGGAAGGGGAAGGGGGAGGGGGAGGGGAGGGGGAGGAGGAGGAGGAGGAGGAGGAGGAGGAGGAGGAGGAGGATGAGGAGGAGGAGGAGGAGGAGGAGGAGGAGGAGGGAGAGGAGAGGAGGAGGAGGAGGAGGGGGAGGAGGGGGAGGAGGAGGAGGAGGAGGAGGAGGAGGAGGAGGAGGAGGAGAGGAGGAGGAGGAAGAGGAGGAGGAGGCGGAGGAGGAGGAGTCCCTTCTTCGAAGCGAGGTGGGTGGACCAAGGTGGCGGTTGGGGGTCCCAGTCGTCCGAGACGCCCTCGGAGAACGACCCAAGTCCCAAAACCGTGCGGTCACCCCGAATTCCGAATCCCCACGAGCTCACCACAAGGGCCCTCCGAAAGTTAGGTTTCCGGGCCATACCTTAGGTCTCTGCGGCCGTTCGGGACGATCCAGGCGCCCCCGAAACGCTCTCGGCGAGGCGCAGCTGCTGGAACGCATCCCGAGGCAGGAAGACGCCCAGGAACCGACGAAAACGTCCGAAAACCTCCGAGAGGGGGTTCGCAAAGCATGGCCAGAGGCATATGCGTGGCCCAGGGGCGGCCAATGAACGCATTGAAATAAGAAGACGGCCATGAAATCTGGCCCAGGCCATGATACCCCCCCTTCCTCTACAGTCGGGCTGCTGAAATTCAGGAACGATAAACAACAACCGAAGCCCCTTTTTGGTCGCAAAAGCGCATGCGTGCACAAGGACGGCTACGTAAAGAAACAGCCCCCCCCAGTCATCACCCCTCTGAGCCGCCCCCGCTCGGGGGAGGATGGCGAGGAGGAGGAGGAGGAGGAGGAGGAGGAGGAGGAGGGCGAGGGAGGAGGAGGGGGAGGGGGAGGGGGAGGGGGAGGGGGAGGAGGAGGAGAAGGAGGAGGAGGAGGAGGGAGGAGGAGGAGGAGGGGGAGGAGGAGGGGAGGAGGAGGAGGAGGAGAAGTAGGAGGAGGAGGAAGAGGAGGAGGAAGGAAGGAAAGGAGGAGGAGGAGGAGGAAGACGAGGAGGAGGAGGGGAAGGAGGAGGAGGAGGAGGAGCAGGAGGAGGACGAGGAGGAAGATGAGGAGGACCAGGAAGAGGAGGAGGAGCAGGAGGAGGAGACTGACAGGAAGAGGAGGAGGAGGAGGAGGAGGAGGAGGAGGAGGAGGAGGAGGAGATGGACCAGGAAGAAGGAGGAGGAGGAGGAGCAGGAGGAGATGGAGGAGGAGGTACAGTAGGAGGAAGAGGAGGAAGACGTGGAAGAGCAGGAACAGCCCCATCCCCTGAGCATCTTGGGTTCCCTCGCCCGGGGCGTCCCCGAGGCGCGAGGGGGGCGGCGCTGGGCCTGGTCCGCCGGCATGCCGGCCCCTCGGATCGCCTACGAGGGCGGGGGCGCGGGGCTCCCACTCGCTCCCGCGTCTCCTTCGTCCTCCTCCTTCCCCTCCTCCTCCTCTCCTCGCCCCTCCTCCTCCTCCTCTTCCTCCTCCTCGTCCTGCTCCTCGTCTCGTCCTCCTCCTCTCCTCCTCCTTCTGCTCCTCCTGCTCCTCCTCTCAACCGTCTCCAATTCCTCCTCTTCTCCTCCTCCTCCTCCTCCTCCGTCCCAATTCCTCCTCCTCCTCCTCCTCGTCCTCGTCCCCGCCCTCGTCTTCCTTCTCCTCCTCCTCCTCCTCCTCCTCCTCCTCGTCCTCATCCTCCTGGTCCTCCTCATCCTCCTCCCCCTCATGCTCTACCATCCGGCCCTCCGTCTCCTCCTGATTTTCCTGCTCCTCCTCCTCCTCCTCCTCCTCCTCCTTCGCCTTCTCCTGCAAACCTTTTCCATCCAGATAACTCCTCCCTGCCTGTCGCACCCCGAGGCCAGTCGGAAGGGCGGGCCGCGCGTTTCGCCTGAGACGCCCTTCCGATGTATGAGCATGAAGCTTCAAAAAAATGGCAACAGTTTTACATATGGAGGGGGTCGCTTCCAAAATGTGGCTCTCGCCACAGCGACGCGCACATTCGTCTTAAACATGTGCAAGAGGTTCACGGATTGAGGGCGGGTGATTGTCAAACTGTGGCTCTCGCCCAAGCGCTACGCACATTCGTTTTAAACATGTGCAACATGCTCGCAGATCGAGGTCGTCTCCAATATTTGCCAGAATCCCACCAGCCCTTTGGGCGTGAGTGGTTTAGAGAGCCCGCTCTGTCCTCAACCCCCCATCTTCCCCTTCGGGGAGGGGTTTACCCCTCCCCCTACCCCCTCCCCCTGGACCTGGACAGGGACTCCCGGGTGGTGTCAGGGGGGTCTTTTTCGACTCCTGGGAGGGCCAAAAAACGACGACCCTCACGAGGGTTCTGGCAACGCAGTTTGGCCCCTCTGCTCTTCTTTGAAGCCAAAAACATTGATTTTACGACGGTTTCGGCCCCATGTTCGCCTTCTGAGGGGGCCGCGCTCATCTTCCTTCATAGCAAAAATCATTGATTTTACGAAGGTTTTGGGCTCATTTTGTCCTTCTCAGGGGCCAGCGCTCATTTGCGCTTCTGAGGAGGTCGTAAGAGGCCCCAAGATGGCCCCAAGATGCCCCCAGGAGGCTCCCAAGAGGCCTCCAAGAGGCCCCCAAGAGGCCCCCAAGAGGCCCCAAGAGGCCCCCAAGAGGCCCCCAAGAGGCCCCCAAGAGGCCCCAAGAAGCCCCAAGAGGCCCCCAAGAGGCCCCCAAAGAGGCCCCCAAGGCCCAAGAGGCCCCAAGAGGCTCCAAGGCCCCAAGAGGCCCACGAGGAGCCCGAACGACTCACACCAGGACGAGGGGCCCGAACGACTCACACCAAGAAGAGCCCGAACGACTCACACCAGGAAACGAGGAGGGCCCGAACGACTCACACCACGAACGAGGCGCCCGAACGACTCACACCACGAGGAGGGAACGCCGAACGACTCACACCACGAGGAGCCCGAACGACTCACACCACGGCCCCCGAACGACTCACACCACGAGGAGCCCGAACGAGTCACACCAGGAGGAGGGGCCCGAACGACTCACACCAGGATGAGGGGCCCGAACAACTCACACCACGAGAAGCCCGAACGACTCACACCAGGACGAAGAGCCCGAACGACTCACACCACGAAGAGCCCGAACGACTCACACCAGGAAGAAGGGCCCGAACGACTCACACCTGAGACGAGAAACCTCACAAACGACTCACAATCACGAGGAGCGCTTTCTCTCTCCTCCTCCTCCGCCTCGTCCTTCTCCCGCTCCCCCCACAAGGAGGATGTACAAGGAGGCGGGAGGAACGAGGACCAGGGGAGATATGCGGGGCCAAGCGGACACACGCCTGAAAAACACGACTGTCGGCATGCTTCGCAAGAGTTGCTGCTGTGAGATGGGCTGGTGGGGATACGCGAAGCGTAAAGAATTTTGCAGATCGAGGGCAGGCTGTTCTAAACATGTGACTCTCGCATTGGCGCCGCGCACATTCGCTTAAAGCATCGTGAGAGTTTCACGGATTGAGGGCGGGTTGTTTTCGGCGTGTGGCTCTCGCCCGATCGCCGCGCACACGCGCTGTCTCCATTGCAAGAGTCTCACGGAGTGAGAGCGGGTGGTTTTCAAAATGTGGCTCTCACCGTAGCGCAGACTTGAAGGGTTCTTGCACTTGACGTCCCAGAAATAATGTGTTGGCACGAAGTAGGACTGTCAGGGTGTAACAGTTGATTCGCGGTGGAATGGTGGAATGCTGGTCTGGCGCGATTCAAGGCAAACGTCAGGTTGATTCGTGGCGTTGAGGTCCTGAGAATGGTCTCTTGACAATGTTCAAGGGTTTGAGACGGTTGTCTTCCAAACAGTCCCTCAAAGGAAATCAATATTTCGAGGGAGGTTGAAGGGAGGGTTTATTCCAGCATCGGTGATGCGCGTTGGGCTTACACTGGTCCTCCTCCTCACCCTCCTTCAGCTTACATCTCCTCCTGTTCCTCCTCCTCCTTCTCATCCCCCTCCTCCTCCAACTGCTCCTCCCCATCCATTTCCTCCAACTCCGCCTCCTCCTCCTCCTCGTCCTCCTCCTCCTCCTCCTCCTCCTCCTCCTCCTCCTCCCCGTCCTTATACATACCCTCATCCCCCTCCTCCTCCTCCTCCTCCTCCTCTTCCTCCTCCTCCTCCTCCTCATCATCATCATCATCTTCTTCATCATCAGCATCATGAATCTCATCCTGCTCCACCACCTCCCCCTCTTCCATATCCTGCTCCATCTCCTCCTCCATCTCTTCCTCCTCCGCCTCCATCTCCTCCTCGTCATCGTCATCGTCATCGTCATCGTCATCATCTTCATCATCATCATCATCATCCTCATCATCATCATCATCATCATCCTCATCATCATCCTCATCATCATCCTCATCATCATCACCATCATCATCATCATCATCATCATCATCATCATCATTTTCATCAGCATCATCATCATCAGCATCACCATCACAATCAACATCAACATCAACATCAACATCAACAACAACATCGTCATCATCATCATCATCATCATCAACATCATCATCATCGTCGACATCCGCAACATCATCATCACCATCATCGTCATGATCAGCATCATCTTCATCACCATCAGCAGATCAGCATCAACATCATCAGCAGCATACGCAGGAGCAACATCATGGTCAGCAGCATCTGCATCACAACCAGCATCATCATACGCAACAGCAGAAACATCACCATCACCGTCACCATCACCATCACCACCATCATCATCATCATCAACATCATCATCATAATGATCATCACCAGCTTCATCCGCAGTATCACCAGCATCATCATCACCACCACTCATCATCAGATTAATCACCCCCACCATCATCAACACCATCAGCATCACCACAGCTATCATCATCACCATCATCATCAGCAGCATCATCAGCATCATCATCAGCATCAGCATCTTCAGCATCATCACCAGCATCGGCATCGTCGTCACCATCACCACCATCATCATCAACACCATCATCAGCATCATCGTCGTATTCTTCATCATCATCATCATCATCGTCGTCATCATCATCATCATCATCATCATCATCATCATCATCATCATCATCATCATCATCATCATCATCATCATCATCATCATCATCATCATCATCATCATGCACCATCTCCTCCTCCCCCACCATATCCATATCTCCCTGCCGCTCCTCCTCCTCCTCCTCCTCCATCTCCTCCTGCTCCTCCTCCTCCTCCGCATCCTGCGCCTCCTCCTCCTCCTCCTCCTGCTCCTCCTCCTCCCCCATCTCCTCCTCCTCCTCCTCCTCGTCTTCGTGTTTTTCTTCTTCTTCCTCCTCCTCCTCCTCTTCCTCCTCCTCTTCCTCCTCCTCCTCCTTCTCCGCATCCTTCTCCTTCTCATCCCCATCTACTCCAGCTGCTGCATCTCCTCCGCCATCTCCTCCGCCATCTCCTCCTCTTCCTCCTCCTCCTCCTCCTCCTCCTCCTCCTCCTCTTCCTTCTCCATCTCCTCCTCACCGTCCTCCCTCTGCTTCTACCCATCCTCCTCATCCTCATAATCCTCCTCTATCGCTTCTATCTCCTTCTCCGCCTTCCCCTCCTCCTCCTCCGCCTCGGCATCCTACTCCTCCTCATCATCACCATCACCATCGCTCATCAACATCATCATCGCTCATCGCTCATCAACATCATCATCATCATCATCATCATCATCATCATCATCATCATCATCATCATCATCATCATCATCATCATCATCATCATCATCATCATCGTCATCGTCATCGTCATCATCATCATCAGCATCAGCATCAGCATCATCACCATCATCATCAGCAACATCACCATCACCATCATCATCATCAGCATCAGCATCATCAACATCGTCATTACCAGCATCGTCATTACCAGCATCATCATCATCATCAGCATCATCAACGGGATCAACATCATCATCATCATCATCATCATCAGCATCACCATCACCATCATCATCAGCATCGTCATCCTCATTCTCATGTGCAGCATCATCATCAGCATCAGCATCATCAGCATCGTCATCATCAGCACCACCACCATCACCATCAACAGCAGCATCAGCATCACCATCAGCAGCATCAGCATCAGCATCACCATCAGCATCAGCACCAATATCATCATCAGCAGCATCATCACCAACATCAGCATCATCAGCAGTGTCATCATTATCATCACGTCGTCAGCAACATCATCATCAGTATCATCATCACCAGTATGCACAGCCTAATCATCACCATCATCAACATCACCACAAGCATCATCACAGCCCCCATCACTAGCATCAGCATCATCGTCATACTCGGCATCAGCATCAGCATCAGCATCAGCATCATCAGCACCATCAGCGTCGTCATCA